GAATGATAGTACACATTATGTAAATAATAACAATAATGGTGATAATTATTAATATTTCTATAGTTGTTTCAAAGAATCAAAATGGAGAAACCTTATGTCCTTCAAAAAGTGGTACCGTTAAACGGTGACATAACTTCGGACAATTTGGGTTTCACTGAAGAGCAGCGAAAACGTCTGATAAACGAAGTACATGTGGTATTTCATTGCGCTGCATCTACTCGTTTCAATGCGAAATTGAAAGACGCCATCGAGATGAACACTGTAAGATATATATTAGCTCTACAATTTAAAAAAATCGACGTCAATAACTCAAAGTTTCATTCGTTGCATTTGTCTTCTTTATGTGAAAAAAATTTTTTATTATTATTATTACACATTACGTTGATTACATTGTACATTTAGATTCTGTATTCATTAATTATATATTTAAAGTTATATGAAAAACGTGTTGATATTTAAATGACAATGCAATATAAAACTTACTTAATTTCACGAATCTGTTTTCCAAACCTAAATTTATGCACAATATTTTACACAATACTTAAAATGCATGATATCTGATTTAATCCTGAAGACAAGTACAAAAAAGGTACTGGACTTGGCGAAGCAAATGAAGCAACTGGAATGTTTCCTGCACCTAAGCACGACTTTTTGTCACGTCGACCAAAAGGAACTTGCTGAACGGATGTATAATTCCCCTCATGATCCCCACAATGTCATGATACTCGTTCAATGGCTGAACGAAGAAAGTATCGATCTTCTTACACCAAAGTAATTAAATTAACGATCTTATTAATCATTAATAATTGTTGTAAGATTAAAGTGTATCCTTCTGTTCCGTTTTTTATGTATCTATCTGTAAGTCGCATGTTACTTTTCTTTTTCCATTTGCTGCTTGCTTATTAGTTGCGCCTTTGTGAATGCGCATGCATACAGACTTACGCTTTGGTCTTTTTCTGTTTTTCACGTTTATAACGACGCTGTTCTGTATAACCAAGTGTTGGGTTATAATGAACCTACTAAGTATTTCAATTGACTTGGGATGGTGTATTTTATTCTGGAAACCATCCACAACAACAATAATGACATATTTATAAGTATATTTATTATAAAATTAATTATAAAATTATAATAATTACCTCTTTAGTGATTTAATTAATTATTTAAAAAATAATAAAAAATTAAAAATACTAAATAATTGTTTAATAAATAACTCATTGAATTATCCAATAATAAAAAATGTGTCTGTGCAATAACGCATTTGTCTATTGTTATAATTCTAGCTTGATACATCCACATCCAAATACCTACACGTATTCGAAGCATCTTAGCGAAACATTGGTGGTCAACGAGTATCCTAATCTGTCTTGCTGCATTGTGAGACCATCAATCGGTAATTATTGGTATATTTTATAATTTTTCAGTGTTGAATTTGGAAATCTCATTTTTAAATAAAGCGCTGAAAGTTTTACCTCTTCTAAGAAGTGCATGTGTATACACTGACATGTGTACGTTTATATTCGCGGTAACGTATAGGACGTCGGCCTAACGTCAGTGAGCGCTCCTAAAATAAAGATGATAGGAAAAATCACTTTTTAGCGTAGGCAGAATTAAAATTGTGTGAAACGTGTAAGAACTGTATATTAACTTTTTGTTAGAAATATACTTTTCTTTTTTACTCGATAAGTGTGTTTCACTGGATAAATCCACTGACATGATAAAAATTAAAAACTTCCAACATTCAGAAATCATAAGAGAAAATCTCTTGGCGCGATATACACACAAATTTTAACAGATCTGCACAATGCGTTGAAAAATTCGGGAAAAATATAGAAACTTCTGTTCACGTCTGCACATAATATGCTCGAATGAGCCAGTAGGTACAATATAGGGATAAACTTCCGAAAAGCTATCACCTCCGATTTGGTTGATTTTTAGCCTAAATACTTATTTTATCTAGTAAATAATATTCCCAAATGGATTTTTGGCGCAAATGTCCTTTCCGCCCCCCTCAAAGGTAAAACTGTTTTTGTTAATTATTTCAGAAAGCGTTTATTGTACGGAAAAAGTTGTCAAATAAAAAATAAAGTTCATAAAATGCTCTACAAATAAAGTCCTATACATATTTTATCTAACTCCAATATTTTAGCCGTTATTATCAAAAATCTGGAGGCAGTGTGTTCCGTCACCCTGCGGGGGGCTCCACCATCAAAAAACTACCCAGTAAACATTCGATATCCTATGTATTGTAAAGGAATTGGTGGAGGGTTTTCCAATTAATAAAAATAAAATAAAATAAAATAATAACGTCAGGATAAATATATTAATACAAGAAAGTGTAGATACAACTTGATTACGACCGATCTGTTTCGTGGTAAATGACTCTCTGCCGATTCTCTGGCGATTCACGCGAGCTCTCGCTCGCTCGTCTTGCCGGCCAACGGCCGCCGATGCCCGGACGCCGTGTTTTGGTCGATCGCTATTGTCTCGATCATCGCCACGAAAACACAACTCTCCTATACTTATTATATTATGCTCTTACACTATCTTCCTATAGTTCGGCCATCCTGACCTTTTGTTCGACCCGAACAAACTTATAACATAAACATAACATATATCGTAACGGGGGGGCGTTCCTCTTTCGAAGCACCGCCCGCGGCACCCAGACATTGTCCATTGTGCCTCCCCTCATAAACTTACTCATGAGAGACCTGTTTTTCTCTAAAAGAGAATCAGATCCCTCACCGGCAGCTCCCTGATCTGCTCGGGCCCAAGTAGTGCTGAGCCCAGCATCTTGTGTCTCAGCCCTGCATGTGCAGGACAGTCGCTGAGTACATGAAGGCTTGTTACCTCGTCGTCTCCACATGCCCTGCACCTGGATGTATCGCTAGGCCCAAGCTTGTACATGTGGTAGTTTAAGGTGCCATGACCCGTCAGTATCTGTATCGCTGTCCTGGCATCTCTCCTACTCAGAGCCCTTATGCTCCAAGCCAGTTCCTTATTAGGAGTATCTCCCATCAGAGCTCTAGCCTGTCTACATTTGGACTCAGATTCCACTCTCCAGTGTCTTAGATGTTCTCTGCGGAACCATTCTTTGATCCTCCCCCTTCCTAGATAAAAGGGGATTCCCAGAGCCGGCCCCGGTCCTACCATCGTTGTTTCTGAACCCGCTCTTGCCAGCTGGTCCGCACATTCATTACCCTGAATACCTGAGTGACCAGGCACCCAGGTAACGATGACTTCTCTTTCTCTCGCCAGTTCGTCCAGAACGCCTCTGCACTCCTGAACCAACCGCGATGTTATTGTCGGAGCCCCCAGCGCCTTGATGGCCGCCTGGCTGTCCGTACAAATTCTGATGTGCTCTCCCGCTTCTTCCTTACTCCGCACGGTCTGAGCACAGCTTAGGATAGCCACAATCTCCGCTTGGAATACCGTGGCATAACTGTCGAGAGAAATGCTCTCCTTCTATCCCTCTCGACTGCCAAAGAAGCCGGCCCCGGAGCCCGTGTCCGTCTTGGAGCCGTCCGTATACCAGACGTCCCCTCCACGCACTCGAGCCCCTAAGTTTCCACCTTCCTGTTCCCACTCTTCCGGTCTCGGTATATGCACTTTAAAGCGCCTATCAGAAGCCCGAATAATAGGTATTCTGTCTTGTCGAATCCATCTCGAATATCGGATCCAACAGAACGTCTTCTGGCAGCCTCGTATGCCAGGCTCCCTTCTTCCATTTTAGTTCGCATCTCAGACGGTATGCCGCCATTGCTGCAGCAGCCACCACCATCTGGTGAAACGGCTCGATGCCGGACATTACGCCCATCGCCGCCACTGGTGTTGTAACCATAGCACCCAGGGCCCCTCTCAAATCAGAGCCCTGACATGCTCCAGCGCAACTTTGGCTGTTTTCTTTCGCACCCTAGTTTACCATACTACGGCTGCGTATGTGAGTCTGGGGCGAAGTATGGCTGTGTAGATCCAATGTATCATACTCGGTTTCAAACCCCAAGTCTGGCCAAAGGTCCTTCTGCACATCCAAAAATACTGGCACAAGCTTTTGCACCGGCTACAAAAGTGCTTCTCCCAAAACAGTTTCCTATTTAGGATAACTCCCAGATATTTCACTGATTCGGTCGGAACTAACCTTACTCCACCAAGAGTGGGTCCCACAATGGTGCCCACCTTGTATTTGCGAGTGAAGACAGTAAGACCAGTTTTCAGTGGATTCACCGCTAAACCCGTCCTCTGATACCACTCTTCTACGACTTCTAGTGCCCCCTGCATAAGCTCTAGACGTGTCTCTAGAAAGGGGCCCCGCACAAGTATTGCCACGTCATCCGCGTAGCCTTGTGCAGTGAAGCCTCTATCGTCCAGTGCCTTTAATAATCCGTCTGCTACCAGGCATCATAAAAGTGGGGAGAGTACTCCGCCCTGCGGGCAGCCTCTTCCCACCCAACCACAAACTTTCGCAGTTCCCAGCGAAGTCATCACACGCCTTCCTAGCATGCCCCGGATCCACTCGACGAGCTTCATCGGGACACCTCTTCTGGCGGCTTCCTCACACACTACATCGTGCGGTGTATTGTTAAAGGCGCCCTCTATGTCCAAGAAAGCACCCACTACGTAGCTCTTCCTTTCCAGCTGCTCCTCAATAAACGCTACCGTCTGATGTAGAACAGTCTCGGTGGAATAGCCCGGACAATACGCGTGCTGATTTTTATGGAGGGGATGCCTCGACAGAGTTGTCTCCCTCAGATACGCGTCCACCAGCTTCTCCAATGTCTTAAGGAGAAACAATGTTAGGCTAATTGGCCTGAAATCCTTTGCCTTGGTGTAGCTCGTTCTTCCCGCCTTTGGGATGAACACTACCCTGGCCAGTTTCCATGCACTGGGTGTGTAGCCCATCGCGATACATGCTCTTAAGGTTCGAGTCAGTGGGCCCATGATCTGTTCCAGTCTCTCTTGTAAAAGAGCCGGAAAGACGCCATCCGGTCCCGCTGACTTGTAGGGCTTAAAGGTGTTAATTGCCCATTTGACCTTCTCGGGCATGACAATTTTGGCCGCCATTCGCCAATCCGCTTGTCGGGCTCTTCTGAGTGAGCCCGGCTCCTTATATGCAAATAGCTCTCCCGGCTCCCTATGGAAGCCCGGAAAGCTCACTTCCAGTAGATGCTCCAGACATCGCTCTCCAGTCACCACCGTCCCATCAGGGAGTGCGATAGTTTCCAGGGTCGCATCCGGGTTCCTAGCGAGGATCCTGCAGATTCTTGCCGTTTCGGGCATTCCCTCCACTTCCTCGTAAAACTTCTTCCAGCTTTCCAGTTTCGCCCTAACCACAGAGTCTCTATACTCCTTCTGTGCCCTCCTAGAGAGCTCCCAGTTGGATTGACGGCCCGTGTTCCTAGCTCTATTCCAGGCCCTGCGAGCCGCCACTCTGAGACCCTGCAGTCCAGGGGTCCACCAGGAAGTTCCTCTATTATTTGTAACCGCCCTTTCGGGGCAATTACTTTCGTAGCAGTTTACCAGAGACCTCTGCAAGTAGTCCACACAGGTCTCCAGTTCGTCTTCTAATCCGTGCCTTTTAGGGAAGCCTCTTAGACTACTGGCCAGGTCTTTCCTATAAGAGTCCCACTTGGTTCTCCTCGGGTTCCTGAATTTGACGTCCTTTCCCCTAGCCTTAGCTATCCTGAAGGTGATCTGCCTGTGGTCTGAGAGCGAAGACTCCGTCGAGACCCTCCACTACCTCCTGTATCAACTGCCTGGAACAGACAGTGATGTCAAGCACTTCTCTTCTCGTTATAGTGCAGAAGGTGAGCTCGTCTTTTGTGTTGAGAATCTCCAGATCCGTGGATGCTAGGAACTCCAACACTTTCCTTCCTCTTTCATTGGTGTCCGAGCTTCTCCAAACAGTGTGATGCGCGTTAGCGTCACATCCCATGATCAGGGGAAGCCGCTTCTCTTGGCAGTATTCTGCCAGTTTTATCACCGGTACAGGCGGCACCGCCTCCCCCTCGTCATGCGAGAAGTAGGCCGAGCAAACGACCATTTTCCTTCTGTCACCGGAGTCAGCAGTGAAATCTACTTCTACAGCCGCAACGTCCCTGGAACACAGGTGAGGTATTAGCTGGGCTTTCATACCCTTGACGGCCACGCAGGCCCTGGGCCGATCCACTGATGGAGCCTTAAAGAGCCTACCGCAGGCTGCCAAGCCCTTGATGCAACCCCGGATTACCCAGGGTACTTGCATCAGTGATATGCATGTTTGCTTCCCAGCTTGATGCCTGGCCAAAAACAGCCGAGGCCCCTTTGCTGTGATGCAGATTAATCTGGGGGAAGGCCACCCCTCTCGATCCCGTCATCTAACTACGAGACCGCTTTAGGGGGCTCCTTCTTATCCCC